GAGGTTTACTCCTGTTGTTATATTCCTATTGCCAGTCAAGGTTAAATAATCTCCCAAGACCCTCTGTCTGGTTTAATATAGGAAGAATGGCCACGTGGGAGAGATTGTAGAGACACAATTCTGCAAAATTACAGTGAGAGAACAATCTCGTAACTGGGATGTTTCAATCTTTTAATTACTTCAATTAACCAATTATCATTGCCTTTGGGAGAGATTTCCTGATTTAAAAATTTAGTCACTGATTTTCAAAATAAAGTGAAAATGAAAAGCACGAAGGATTGGACTGTGGATATAAGTAGCACAGAGCAAGAGAGACTGTTTGAGAGAGAGAGCAAATACACTGAGAGAGTAGGTGATGAGACACACATACACTGGGGGGACAGTGTGAAGGAGCAACAAGTCTGCTGAAAACTGAACAGAGATCAAGAAACAGTGAGAAAGAGAGAGCATGTCAAACAGATAGCATAGTTTCAGTGCAGATGCCGATCTTTATTTCGCGGGAAGCCTTCTAGTTAGAGGGTCAAATACAGAAGTTGCTGGAAAAGCTCAGCAGGTCTGGCACCATCTGTGAAGAAAAAATCAGAGTTAATGTTTCGGGTCCGGTGACTCTTCCTCAGAACCCTCTCCTAACCCCCAGGCCATAGTTAGAGGGTAACTGGTTTGAAACTTATTCCAGAGACTTGAGTTCATCATCTAGTCTGTTGCTTTGAAACAAACCTGAAGGGGTTCTGCACTACCTGATGTAATCTTACACCAAGATAGACATGATGTAACCAGAAATATAATAAAGATTTGTAGAATTATTCACTTTGTGATAGAGAACATCAGGAAACTCATTCACTTCAGTTGGGGGATTTCTTACTGATGGATTCTGGAATACTCTCCACAGATCTTTTTGCCTCCCTTTCTTCCTTTCTTTCCTTTCCTTCAGGACTATTCTTAAAGCCCACCCTTTCACTGAAGAATTTGGTTGTCTCCTTGTGTGACTCGGTGTCATGTTTAGTTTTACAATGCTCCTGTCAAGTTCTTTGATATGCATCATTACATGAAAGTTGCAGCATAAGTACAAGTCATTGTTGAAACAAAGATTGGTGCAGATAGTTATAACACAGTGTGGAGCTGGAGGAACACAGCAGGCCAGGCAGCAACAGAGGAGCAGGAAAGTTGACGTTTCGGATTGGGACCCTTCTTCAGAAATGGGGGAGAGGGTAGGGAGCTGGGAAATAAATAGAGAGAGGAGGGGTGGAGCTGGGCAAGGTAGGTGGGATGGTGATAGGTGAGTGCAGTGGTGGGGATTGGTCAGTGAGGTGGGAGGAGCGGATAGGTGGGAGAGAAGATGGACAGGTTGTGTCAGGTCAAGGAGGCAGGAATGAGAGGGAGGGTTGGATATGAGATGAGGCTGGGGGTGGGAAGATTTTAAAACTGGTGATTTCTGTGTTTAAGCCATCAGGCTGTAGGCTCCCAAGGTGGAATTTTTTCTTTTATTTTCTTTTCATTCCATCTTCTCTCCCACCTATCTGTCCCACCCATCCCACTGACCAATCCCCACCACTCGCTACGTGCACTCACCTATCACCATTACCTTCCCCTAGCCCCACCACGCCTCTCTATTTTTTTCCCATCTCCCTTCCCCCTCCCCATTTCTGAAGAAGAGTCCTGACTCGAAACATCAACTTTCCTGCTCGTCTGATGCTGCCTGGCCTGCTGTGTTCCTCCAGCTCCACACTGTGTTATCTCTGACTCCAGCATATGTAGTTCTTGCTATCTCTGAATGGGCCGAGGATCTGTTTTAAAGTCAATGAAAAAGAAAATGAGGCACAGTGTAAGATGGGCTGTTGACTCATTATCACTTTTACACACCACTGTCAAAGACAAATTTCAACTGGTATTAATTTTTAAGTAGGCCAGCACTGAACTTTTTAAATAGCTGCAATAGCCAACACTATCAGTAAATTATACACACTGGGCAGAATCGTAAGGTGATAGAGATGAGCCAAAAAGGTGATGAGTTATCAAGCATTTAGGACAGGAACAAAAGCTAAGGAAGCTCTCCTTCCATGTAAGGAGATTTCAAGGTTGTGGAATAAAAACTTTCAATTAAATTAGTGAATTTGGATCCAAAAAAAAATCATCGTGGTTAAACAGTTCAAATCCTGAGGGAAACAAATTAAAGAAAACATATATAGGAAGAATGAAAGGAAGTAGGAGAGACACTTCTTCATCCAAAGACTAATAGAGTTGTGAAAAAAAAATTATCAGGAATGTGTATTGAAGCAGACGGTGTAAATGGGTCAAGAGATAATTAGATGTAATCCAGAGTGGGAAGTGACTGAGAGATGAAGTCAGGATATAGAATAGGCAGAAATGAACCTTTAGGGAGGAATATGGTTGTTGGAGGTGTAAATCAACTTGGCAAGTGGAACAGAATCAAGTGATAACAAATCAAAAGCTTGCTTGGGAGCGAAAATCAGACAAAATGCAAAAGTGAGGCTACTGACCATTTTTGAGGTGAGGTAATGGTTCTGGAAGAGTTAATGTTCGAGCTGTGATGAGCTCCCCCCACTCAGATGATGTGAATTGTTTGGGATCTGACACAGCCTCCTGAGGGAGATACATGGATCTCTTTCAACCTCTTATTCATCATATTTAATGTGCCCAAGAGTTAATGCATCTTGTTTAAATATTTTTGATTCAACCCATTCACATGTTATGACATTGGAGCAGGTGTGATTTGAATCTGACCCTTCTGGTTCAAAGGTAGGGACACTACCACTGTGCCACAACAGCCCTTAATGTAATTGCTACATGGTTACTGAGATACTATAAACTCCGTCTTGTTATGTAAGACAAGAACCTCTTCTGCTGAGATTGGTGGTCCATCATCTACCACGAACTACAGAACAACCCCTTTGGGTAGCGTCGGAAAGGGGCTTGGTGGCAGCCCCAACTACAAGCCAACAGTGGCTGGTACTTGAGCATTACATGATATTATGACATTCTTTACTGAGAGTTCCAGTTTCCTTACCTCAGGCGTGAATGAACAATCACACTAAAGCATGTGCAAAACTCCAAAGCAATTCTTCAACATTGTCATTAGAACTGCACCCGGCACCTTCTGAACCACCCAGAGCCGTGTTAGTCCCTGGATGTTTCCCCACACAAAGTATATTTTCCAAATAGACCTCCGCAGGTGGACTGACTAGAATGGAGAGATTCTATGTGACTTGTTCCACATGATTGACTTTGAATCGTCAAAAGCAAGCTCGTTCGCCCTGCGTTTCAATTCAAAATATTTTACTCTGAGGAAAGCTGCAGGTTTGAGAAAATTATTTTACGGGTGATTAGGATCTGCTTCAAGGGCACATTTAAAAGTTGGAAATCTCTCTGGGGGGAGTTTGTCACTCCAGTTAAGGTAGGGGCCCTCCAATCGCTTTCAAGATACCCAACTATAAACTGACAGCTGGCAGTCTGACAGCAAACAAATTAGATTTTCTATTGAAAACCAGACGAAAGGTTTGTTTTATCGGGTGACTTCATTGTTAATCTGGTCACCCTCTAATCAGTTTTAGTGATAAAGGAACCAAATGTGTGACAGAAGGGAATATGACATGAATTGTCAAATGAGATACTCTACAGTTGAAGCTCCCTGTTTAATGGAATTCAGTAAAACAATAGGAAAAAGTTTATTGCATGAGTTTCTTTTCCCCTAATTTTCATCCTTTGTATTTCAAAGGTATTACTTTACATCACCATCACTTGTCAAAGTCCTAAACTCTGGAATTCTCTACCCAAGACTCTTCATCTTTCTATCTTCCTCTAAGGTGTAGCTTAGAACGTATCTCTTGTAGGCACACAGTGCCTTAAGTACAAGACCTCAAAGCTGACGTTGCACGATCAGATGTGCTGACTTTCTGATAAGTTGCTAAAATGAGGCCACATCTGCCCTCTCAGAATATGTAAAAGATCCACTCACCCAAATTTGAAGAAGAGAACATAATCTGAGAGTAAAGGGTCCATAAGATCATAAGAAATAGGAGCAGGAGGAGGCCACTCAGCCCCTCAATCCTGTTCCACCATCCAATAGGATCATGACTGATCTGATGCTCCTCACCACTGCTTTCCTGCCCTTCCCCCATAACCATTGATTCCCCAACTGATCAAGAACCTATCTAACTCAGCCTTAAATTTATACAAGGACTCTGCCCCCACAGGTCTCGATGGCAAGGAGTTCCAAAGACGCTCAAGCCTCTGAGAGAAGAAATTCCTTCTCAACCCAATTTTAAATTGTCACCTATGTATTCTGAGTCTATGTCTCTTAAGGTTGCTCACTCAAGACAGAGATGAGAGGAATTTCTTCCCTCATAGGGTAGTGAATCTGGAATTCTTTACTTCAGAAGGCTGTCATTGAGGATTTTCAAGTATACAAGATAGACCGATTTTAAGTGTTATTGTTGAACAGGCAGGAAAATGGAGTTGAGAATTTATCAGATCAACCATGATCTCATTGAATGACAGAGCAGAGTCTATGGAGCTGAGTTGTCTACTTCTGCACCAATGTCTTATTGCCCAATGGACTAAGGAATTAGTCCCAGCATTCTGTCCATTATCTAACCCTAAATCCCAAACACAAAAACAGATCATCTGTTCATTATCACTTTGGTGTATAATTTGGCTGCTGCATTTTTCACATTACGATGGCGACTACACGTCATTTTCTTTGGCCGTAAGCTGCTTTGGGACATGCGATGACCCTGAAAGGAGCTATAGAAATGCAAGCTTTTGTTTTTTTAATTGTCCTGATAGCTTCTTTTGTGTCTCGCTGTCAAATTCCGCCTGGACTTTTTCTTTTGCTAAATTCAAGGTGCTACGTAAATGCAATTTGTTGTTAAATCCTTTTGATCATTTTCTGTAGAAACCAAACAATGAACGAAAAACTGTCGGAGCAACAATGTAAACAGGGACGGCCTGGATTTTAATTTTTGCTTTTATCTCCCCTGCAGATAACTCGGTCAGTATCTTGGCCAGACACAGTGGATTCAGCAGGCAGAAACAAGACATTTACTTCCTGCCCATCATAATCTCGGACAGTGGGAACCCCCCCATGAGCAGCACCAACACACTCACCATTCGGGTCTGTGGTTGCAGCACTGATGGAACCGTACAGTCCTGCAACGTGGAAGCTTTTGTTCTGCCCATCGGGTTAAGCATGGGAGCTTTAATAGCTATCTTAGCCTGCATTATCCTCCTCTTAGGTAGGTGTGAATATGCAGAATGCCAATATATCTGTTAATTTATATGTTACGGTGGCTTTGGGATCATCAGCTGTAGTTCAGTGATAGCATTCTCACCTGAGAGTTTGGAGGTTGTACACCAATTCAGACCGCTACATCAGTTCAGTGCTGAGGGACTGCTGCACTGTTGGAGGCGCTATTTTCAAATGCAACATTAAACTGAAGCCAGAGATAGTAGGAACTGCCGATGCTGGAGAATCTGAGATAACAAGGTGTAGAGCTGGA